GAGACCCACCCTTCCCGCTTCAAATACTGATCCGTCTCCTGCTGCCGCCCTCCTACCCCCCCTTCATGTTCATCCCCCTCTTCTTGTTCTTCTCCTTCTTCCTCCTCCTCGCCAATTCTCCACCGGTCCTCGTCTGCGCTCCCTATCCTGCCCGACCCCGCACACTCCAGCTTTCATCCTCTGCCCTCCTCCCCCTGACCCCTCCCCCCTGCCCCCCCCCCCCGCTTCACCCTCCTTGGCGGCGGCCAGGCGGCCAGGCGGAGGAGGGGAGGAGGAGGGCGGAGGGAGGAGGAGGAGAGAGGAGGAGGAGGAGGAGGGGGGAGAGGAGGAGGAGGAGGAGGGGGGGAGGCAGGAGGAGGAGGAGGAGGAGAGGGGAGGAGGAGGAGAGGAGAGGAGGAGGAGGAGGAGGAGGAGGAAAGGGAGGGTGGAGGACGGGGGGGGAGGGAGGCGACGAGGAGGAGGGAGCAGGCCGCACGTGAGCGGGCTAGAGTCCTCCCTCCTCCCGCCCCCTTGCTCTCCTTCCCCCCTTCCCCTATTACCTTGCTCCCCCCTCGCTCCGCCATCCCCCCTTCCTCCCGCTCCCAGCACGCCTCCCCCTCGTCCTCCTCCCCTCACCTTCTTCTCCTGCCTTCTCCCGCGCCCTCTTTCCTCCTCTCGCCCACCTGCCTCCTCTCTCCCTGCTCCTTCCGCCCTCAAGACTTCTCGCCCCCCCTCATTCCCCTGCTTCTTGCCCCCTCGTTTTCCAGTTCCCGCGAGCGTCCTGGCCGCCATGGATGACCCCGATGTGCGTGAAGTGGCGTGCTTCGATGGAGGCAAGAGGGAGCAGGAACCAGGGCGTTGGAGCTGGGTGGTTCAGTGGACTGAATGGGACCAGCTGAAAGGGACGCACTATCCAGCTGTATGCTTGGGTCACCTGTGGCGACGGCGGAAGTCGCAGCCCGTTCTGTAGGCAACGGAACTCTGGCCCTAGTTATTAGCCTGCACACAAGCCAGCACTTTGGGTTTGTGTCCTCTGAGGCCTTGCGATTTCTGCGGGCTTTTCGGCGCCCCTCTCGCTTTTACTTCCTCCTTGTTGTGTTCTGTGTTTCGCTCTCTCTCTCTCTCTCTCGTTCTCTCCCTCTTTGTCCCTCCCTCCTTTTTTCTACCTGCGCGTAAACATATGCATATACATGTGGGTATCGCTTGCTCTCTCGCTCAAGTGGGTATCGCTTGCTCTCTCATAAACCCTCTCTCTCAGTATTGAACAGTCAATGTGGCTTTTGTTTTTGCTTGCCGCCACTGCGTCGCCAGCTTGCCTGGGCGTCTTACGCGGGGATCTCCTCATCTGGCACGCTATGCATCCAGGCTGCTTCCCTTTCAGATGTCTCATTTTCTCTCTTTCTCTGTCTCTCTCTTACTCTCTCGCTCTCTCTCTCTCTCTCTCGTCTCGTTATCCCTCCCACCTCTACCTCTCTTTTCTTATCTCTGGCTCTCTCTCTCTCTCTCTCTCTTTGTTTCTCTCTCTCTCTCTCTTTCTTTCTCCAGTGTACTATCTTTTTAATCGATGTGTGTATGTTGCAATATCCTCTCTGTTCTTCTCGTTATCTTGCTGCTCCCCCGTGGTTGCCCTTATCAAATGGCTGGTAGTAGTGGTTGGTTACGCCGTACGGGTTGCACTCACAAAGTGTTTTGTCTTTGCTCCCTGTCTTCGTCGTCCTCCTCTTCTGCTTAGTTCGCGTCCCGCTTCCTCAGCTGTGCGCTTCAAGGGTCAAGCTCAGGGGATGCAGGCTTGGCTAGCCGTGTCACGTACCCGAAGATGTAGCTTGCACGAATAGATCGGAGGACAGCATTTGGTCCAGAGCGTGAGGTTCGGCCAAGTGACTGCGTCCCTCGCACCGGGTCGAAGCGCATTCGCTTCGACCGTGTAGGGTAGGACGACACACGGTTCATCGCTGCCGGGCGGAGGCGGAGGAGGAGGAGGAGGAGGAGGAGGAGGTGGAGGATCGAGGTTCAACGATCCTATCTGCCTCCACAACGGTAGGCCGTTGTCTTGCTTTGTTTTCCTCTCTCTGCCTCGCTCGTGTGGGTCCTGGTGCGCATGCCGGGCCTCCGCACGCATGACCTTTGCCCCCACCCGTAGTTATCCCTCTCCCGCCCTCCATCCCCTCTGGCCTCTCCAGGCCTACGCCTTGGTTTTCCCATCCCTTCTGGCCTCTTCAGGCCTGCGCCTCCCCTCCTCTCCCCTCCTTTTCCCGTCTGCGCCTCAGGCCCAGCTTCACCCGGTTTGTCTCACCTCTCTGCTCTGCCGCGTCGTCTTTTCACGGCATGGTTTTGAGACTTTGCCGCGGCTCTTCACAGTGCAACTCGGCGGCGGCCGTCTTTTCCTCCATTTCACGATGTAGGGCATCTTCGCTGTAGTGAGGTTCAGTTTTTGAGGTTGGAAGGCCCGTTAGGATAAGCCTCTGGCGATCACGCGCGTGACCGGCCCCGCCGCCCCCCCTTGTAGCCACGTCGCGGCGGT